TTTTGTTTTAGTATTTTGAAGTTGACCAATTGTTACTATAAGCAATTAATGATTATAGATGATCTGCACCGTATATCTGTTATTATTTTTATATTCTGATGAATTACATTGTTTATTTTTATCAATTAGTCCAATTTCACTTGAATTTTCACTTTGACGTTTGATTTCAATTAACAAGGTGCAAATCGTCTGAAAAGGTCAAATTATGTTTGTTTGAAAATATGTCGTCATTTTTTGAATTTACTAGTAGCTATTACTATTGTCTTAAATATTATTATCTTAAATCGGAACATTGATGATGAATAGACAAGAGATTTAATGAATTCTAGTCCTTTAATCTTGTCGAGTTAGCATTTATTTTTAATGATATTTATTGTAAAAATAAAAAATAAAAATAAAAGATGTTAATTACATGAGCGCCCGAATTTATGATATTAGTTATTTATTTAAATCACTGAATTTACTTACTATATCAACCAATTTTTTTTTTGGATCTGCAAGCACGACCTCAAAGTAACAATATACACTCGATGGACAAAAGTTTGCATCCAAAATTTCTTTTGAATTTATTTCAAAACCATATTAATTAAAAGATTGTAATCTTTATATATCATTCGGAAGCCCTTCTTCTTGATAATATGTTCGTGATATCAAATCTTGAAGTTTGTAATGAAAAAAAGATAAAAAAAATAAAATATAAAAAATAGTGAAAATGTTGATAGATAAAAAAAGCTTATTCTTTATATTTCAAAAAAATATTATTTAATATCTAATTGTCTGGCAATTGTTTGCAATGCAATTTTAAATTCTTTGGGAAATACTGCCAATTAAATTTAAGTTCACCGTTCTTTCCCATTTTTCAAAATCGGTTTAAAAACAAAAAAAAATATCAACATTTTCACTATTTTTACATTATTTTTTATTTTTATTTTTTATCTTTATAAAACTTCAAAGTTTTGATATCACGAACGTATTATCAAGGACAAGAGCTTTCGAATAATATTTAAAGATTACAATCTTTTAATTAGTATGGTTGTTGAAAAAGATTCAAAAGAAATTTTGTATGCAAACTTTTGTCCACCGAGTGTCTAATGGATCATATTGATAAAGTATCATTGTATCGCGGTCTTGATTGTTGTTAATTATTCGGGATCGTATGACGTTATATCGTAATGACATTTTCATTATAGTCTAGTTCATTGAATGAAGGGTAAAAGAATTCATCAATACAATGTTAACTTTATGTCTAACAAAAAAAGGATTATTTAAGAAAAGATAAAAACTCGACTCCATCAATATCACATTCAAATCATCATAAATGCTACATTTGTAACTATGACTTTGTTGATCAAAGTAGAATGTTTATGTAATTTTTTATTTATTTATCTAATAGAAAAAATCTTTGGTGAAGACAATACGAACGGTGTTGGTAACGCGAACGATGGTCGTAACACATTTCCTATTATATTAACAATAGATATTAATGCTCCTTTTTCAAAAATGTAATATCCGAAATGTAATTTTTTTTATACACATGATGGTTTCTTCAATGTACCTATTAAAAAAGAAAGAATACTTTATCCTTGAATAAATAACAATCAATTCTTTATCACTAACCGTATAAAAATTAATTAATTATTATCATAAACCAATTATAGAAAAGTTATTCCTTTATCATCTTTTTCTTTATCCATTTTCATTTCCTAAATTACTTAATACAACAAAAAAAAAAAACAAAGAAAAAATAAATAAATTTTAATTTAGTTTATTTATGCACAATGGTCGTATGAAGTCACGGGTGTGTATTTAGAGAGGGAGTATAGATCGGGAATGAAAAAACCGCACAGTGCAGCGATAACGTGCATTAGGAGGGTTGCATATTTCTAAATTTATCATTCCCTTTCGAACTTTAAATAATTTTTGTATTTATTACAATGTAACGTTGATTATTAATCAGTTTAATCCGATATAATTATTTAATTTATGGGCAAGCTACTTACTTAGTTTTCTTTTGAGGAATATTTATTACGTATACCCCATGACATTACGGATTGGGAGATATACATATTAACATTTTATATTCTATGCCCTTGCAAATTTCTGTGTATACGTATGATGCATGGTACCAATTCTCCTGAAAAAATCTCTTCTACCAATATTTGAAACAAACACGAACAAGTGACGCAATACATGCAATTCGCGATTTAATTTCCCGGTGATATAAATAATTTTTGAACATCCATAAGGCATTCGCCTCACAAGGGTTTTTAATTTTGAAGACGTAATGAAATGTTAGCTGCTTTGTCAGAAGTTGTCAGTATTGAAGGACTAGAAAGCAAAGGTTTTAATTATGACAGAACATTTTCTATTTGGTAAAATAACAAGGATTTCGTATATCAGAAAAAATAAACGAGCTAATGAAAGAAAACGAAAGTTTAAGATCTAATACTCACAGGAAGGAAAAACTAAAACTTAATATGTAAGATGATGACGATAGAAGGCCCGAGTTAAAGAAGATTAAATATGATGTGATAACTTAACGAGAGAACTCGGAATATTAAAACCTAATAATAAGCAGAATAACGTAATGAAAGGATTAAAAAAGACATTTTGAAGAATATATACGAGGAACTAAAAATTGGAAACTTCAAAAAATACAAAAAATAGTGAAAGCAAAGAAAAAATCGACTCTGAAAGATATGATATTGATGTTTTTTAATAACACCATCCTAAGAAAAAATGTTAGTAGAAAATCTCATGAATAAATTTATTCATTACTTATTTGGGCATAAAAGAATATCATTTGATTGGAATAATTTATTTATTAATAGTAAAAGTTTATTTTGATATCAATTCAATTCCAAAAAGTTGATTGACGATCTATCAATAAAAGCGGGGGATATTAACCAAATTTGGAAATTATTTTCTACAAAAATCACCAATCAAAAAACCTTGCATGAAAGTTTATATAAATTCTCATATATTTTTTGTTCAATTGTCATTGACCAGAGAAAAAAGTTTTACTATAGGGCACCATTGACCAAAGAAACGTCGATCATTCATCAGATTCGTGTTTTCGATTTATAATTGACATCTTAATATTAATGTATATTTATTGTTATTTGTGCAAATTAATAAAATCGGTTCAACTGTTTTTCCATTTTTTTTTTTAACTTGCAAAACATAAACCTATTTATAAATTAAGATTGTTCGCGATTTATAATTATTCCGATTGTTACCTATTTATGGGGGTGGTTCCACATAATAGGGGCAATTCCACATAATCATAATAATCACCAAATAAAGAATGAATGCCTAACAAAATAAGATTGCCTGGTTTAGACAAAAAACGTCAACATCAAGAAAAAAAAAAAAAAAAATCAGATTCTGGTGTTTAGTTCATCGATTCAACAACAAAAGTGTTTTAGCATTATTTTTTTTTCTATGGTTTCTATTTTATTTTATCGACTTATAAAAACCTGTACCAAGCCAGACTTACCATGTGTACGATGTAAAATCGTTTGTTCTACGTACCAATATTCATACTATACGTATTTCTAACTCAGACATTAAAGACGTGTATTTCCTATTGCTAACTTCAAACTCAAAAATCGAAAAAACATCAAGATAATACAACCGGTGTGTATGTAAAAGTTGCTCCATTGGCTTGTCTGTTTGTGATTCAACCAACACAACCTGAACACGCTTTGATTTTTCATTTCATTGATAAAGAAAGTTACTATAATTGTATATACGGAAAATATTTTTTAATTGGTTCCATAATAATTAATAACATAAATTTATCAATAATTAGTTTTAATTGATTATTGAAACTATAAAAAACATAATAAAAATAATATTAGAATAATATCAACACTATAACATTACTGTACAATTACTATACACGCTATTATTAATACAAAACCAAATCATTTCACGAAGCAAAATAATTCAATTTTCAGCTCATAGAAAATATGTTTCACATAGTAAAATAATGATAAAAACTTAGTATTAAAATATTGCGGAAAAAAAATACTCGCAACTAAATTTTATCAGTGAAATTTTTAATTTTAAATAAATATTGTCACTAACTGTATAGAA